CAAGAAACATCTTTTTCCAGGATCTGGTTTAGCTCCCAGGCTTGGCTAACTGCATGCAGCAAGCTAATGCTTTATTCTGCTTTCCCTGCCTCCTTTTTCAAATAGGAGCAGCATGGATAAACACAGGCAGGACTGATTTAAATCACTTTTTGAAAAGGGAAAGAAGAATGAACAATCTGGGATTCACATGGAAAATAATAGAATATATCCTACTTTTTCTAGATGTTTGTTAATCTGCATAGTAGCTCTTAAATAAACACATTCTCAGAAAATACATTTAATATAAATTAAATTAACAATATTTTTTTAGGTTTGTGACACAATATTGGAAAATGCAAAACACAGATTTGCCTTCATAAAGCCTGATAAGGGCATCCTTTATCTACAAAAAGTAAACCTGAACATGAAGTTATGTTTTGTGTCTATAAAGTATTTTTATAATGTTTTTTGTTGTTGGCATTCATATAAATATACTGGTGTGATAACTTAGTATATGTTTGATTGTTTTTTGATATACATCTATTTTAAACTATAGTCCCCCCTGGAAAAAAACTCCACCAGCCGCCACTGGTTTTTATGTAATAGAACAAAACAACAATGTATATTTATGAAAAGGAATACAAATGATAAATGTTTCTGGGTTTTTTTTGGTGCAAACAGGATTCCTCAAAGACCTGTGCAAGTTTCTGCTCACCATCCCTGATATAATGGTTTAGAGTTGTTATCTGGCTCCCTCTAACTCATTTTCTTCCGGAATTACTCAGTGTTTAGTTCCCTCCATCTTCTAATAAACTCTAACCAAATTCTCTGCCCCTAATGAAGAAAAGCTTGATGAGTTTTTTGTAGTTATAGTTAGGCTCGCAAAAGTTCAAGTTTTCCATTCAAAGAGTCTAGACAGTGTTAACAGATGAATCCAAATCCAAAGCCATCACTGAAACCTAGAGGTGTGCTCTTTTTTTTAATCTTTTCACTAAAAGCCAATGGAGGAAGAATCCCACTTATTCTGAGGCTATAGATCACCAGAACACAGAGGTTGGCTTTTCAGATAGATTAACCGCGTTGCTGAGAGTAGATCAGTTATGAGCTGTTATAATTCATGCTGGTCTTTCAATCCTTGACCGTATTCTCAACCTGCCAGTGAAATTTACCACTTTAATGATTGGAATACACAACTAATGGGCTCTTAGTGATTTAAAGGCAAAGGAAATGCCAAATCAAGGCTGAATTTAATTAGAGTTTCACCTCTGTTGTTTGTCAATAACACTTTTGTATAGAAAGGTATCTCTCAATCTCCATCAAGGCCGAGATAAAATGTTTCACTACATGGAAGCACGGTCAAAGCATCTGAACACACACAAGTATTTATTTTACATTTAAAATTAGGCTCCAGCAAAAAGAGAGTAGTTTTCCTTTCCTGTTGTTTGCCAGTCTGGTATTTCGCCAAGAGATAATTGGGGTGCAGAACAAGAGGGCTGTTGATGAAGGAGGAGGAGGCGAAAAACGTGAACAAGAAGTGAAATCGGACACATGAGCGCAGGCTTGTGGGAGAAAGAATGATATCAAAGGGGTTTAAGGCGAGGGGTAAGATTACAGTGACAACACAGAGAACACTGCAAGACACTAATGAGATATCGAGGAAAAGGGCAAATGATTTCAAGCCAGCAGCAAAAGGCAGCTGGCAAGAAAAAGAGTGGTTGAAGATGGAGGCAAAGTCGCTTCTAGATGAGATCAACACACATAAGGCAGAAAGACGGGGAGTATTAACCCAGTAAGAAGCAGGGTGGGGCATCATAAACAGCAAAGGCAATATGTCAGATGGAGGCTTTGCCAGCATTTCCTTAATTTATGGACTTTTGCTGTCATTATTTATGCTGCTTTTAATTTACGCAGGAAATTCTACGCTCTGGAATAAATAGAGGCCTCTCACAGCCACAGGTCAGACTGGCTTCATAATTCACTGCTGTCAGGGTCTACTCTGTTAAAGCCACTGGCACCGCTTGTATAAGAGAGCCATTATGTGGACTCCAAGCAAATGAAATGCAGCAAATATTTATTATGGTGCTAAAACTGGCAGGTTTAATGCATGGATCAGACTTCTTAATGGATTCACTGAAGGATTTTGAAACAAAAAAGATGAAAAGATAAATGAGAAAACCTGGAACCGACAACTATGATAAATCCACAGTTTTTTGGGGACTTTGGCACAGACATTGAATGTTTGCAATGCTTTAAAAATGTTTAACTATTCAAATAAGCTAAATGATTGTCTACATGCTACAATGCAGGTGTATATCCATACAATTATTATAAATAAATGGATTAAAGTTCACGTTATTTGACTAATGAGTCTTACTTTTTTATTTTTTTTTTTGGAATGACAGTTAAGAGAAAGTAATTTTCAAGCTGAAGACCACACACACACACAAACGCGCGCACACACCGCGGGGGGGAACCATTACGCGCAGTTTCGCGCACACTCACGTCGTTATTCCCGTTCCTGCTCTCCTCTCCATGGTGTGCTTCGGAATAGGAGGAATGACTCCTTCCAGATCAGCCCACGGATCGGTATGAGCTGTGATCTGCTCCTCTCCCAACAAGTCCTCCTTCTCCTCCGCCGCTCTTTAAACTTGTGCCCAAAGCCGCTCCGGCAACAGCGACGCGCTTCTGGAAACGCTCCCAGACTCCCTCCACTGTGTCAAACCTCTTTGTTTCCACGCAACCATAAAACCTCCGGGGTGTGAACACGCAGTCCTGGGGTTATAGCCTTCTGCCTAAGGTTTTGGTCAAATAATAAAAAATAAAAAAAACAGTAAATGAAACAGAGAGGAGGCGCAGGACGCGCGGTGAATTGAGAGTGAGCGCACACTGAAGGCTGGGCTGCTTCTCTGCAGCTGCGGCTGAAAAGAGGGCTGAGCTCCTGCAGGGGAAATTTCATGTACCGTAAATAGCCTTTGTAATTGTCCAGCTGAAGGCATTCATTCAAAGGGGTGTGCTGATTGCTGTGAGTGAAGCGGGCCCTGATGTGCATTCGTGCATCAGGTGCCACTGGGTGAGCGCGCCCCTCCCACACGCTCACTGAGGAATGATCTCATGCAATGTTCACACATGGAGCGTTTGGGTCTGCAGCCTACACTAATCATGTTTGATCTGAAAAAAATTGCTTGTTGTTTCAAACATGCTGCTTTGCTGCCAGAACTGGGGGGTTCGCCCCCTCCCCCCTCTTCCTGTCTGCTGCAAGGCGATAAGGAAGCCCAAATCAAATTCACTATAAAAACAGACGTATACCAGCCTGAAAGAGTCAGCCAAGCAACTCTAGGCCCAAGGTATTAAAGGAATTAAAATCAATAAAGTGAGATCCTCCACCCAGACTCTCCCTGGCGATGTCAGATTTTCATGATTAACTGTAATGCACATAAAATCATATTTCCCTGCACTTTAAATTAGATATAATGCCCCACTTTAAACCATTTGAAATGTCTTAATAAAATGTGTGAGGCATCCTTTGTTAGAACAAATCTGTTGGCTGATGCAGAACTAATGCACTCCTGTATGTACATGCTGAGAGTTAACTGCACTACCATCTACTTTTAATCATGTTGGTTATAAAGTCATATTTATTACGAAATAGTTCATTTATTCAAGTAGCTCAATTCATTAAATAAAACCTCTTATATAGAGCAATTATACCAACATTGTTTTAAAGCCTTTATTTCTGTTCATTCTTACCAATTAGAGCTAATGGAAACCGCATATTTATGATTAGAATATTACATCAGACCAATAAAAAACATTTTTAATGGGAGGGCTTAATGGAAAAGTGTGCTAAATACTTGCTCAAATATCTGTTCACAAAGTTCTGAAATTGAACTTAAGACTCATGCTACTTTTGATCTGTTTTGATCAAAGTGTTTTAAATGCAAAACTAACTAAACTTTTTTTTCTATTTTACTTCACAAAACACATATAAAGCATATATAGCACACAAAAAGGTAGTCTGATTTTTCTGGGCAAGGGATCTATAAATCATAGCTGCAAAGTCAGAAAGTGGAGTGCAATATATTGGGTTTCAAAAATCAGAAAACGTTTTAATATCTTGCTTAAAAAAACAAAGCTGACAGGATTGTTTTATACTTTGGATCAAACTCTTTTTGAGTTTGTCTGTGATTGGATTAAACTGATGGTTTGTAAGTCAAGCTGTTTGGGACTTGAGATGACATTTGTTTTAGAACAGTGCAACATAAATCATTTGAAAAAATGTTAGATCTAGTTGTGTGTTTGCATTAACTTGTATAGCTGTATCTCATGATGCAATCGATAAATGAAGCGTCACAACAACCTGCAGCTGCCACCTCTGTACTTAAGATGGCATTCTAAAGCTCCTTCTCTTTAACTATAATATCATTACCTTTATTTATTTATAACTGCATCTCTTTGTTTCAGTTGACGACAGAAAAGCACAGCCAGTCTAGAGGGGAACGAATCCTTTTAGTGTGTCTGTGTTGGTGCATTATCCACTCTGGCTAACAGATTTCAGCCTTTAAGGATCTTGGCTTGCAGGGTTGATAATAAATGACGATTATATTTAATATTATTATGATTATCATCACTATTTTAAAAGCTGCATCATTATAATTTCATTTTGATCAAAGAGCACAGTTTTATAAACATGTGCTCATACCTCTATGGATTTAATTTATGTCTTTTGTTGAAAATACATTTTCCTCTTGTTTTATTTACAAATGTATTTGTTCTTCTTTCCATGTTATCTATTGACTGGTGCATACATATATATCGGCTTCTGTTTATTTCTTTATTTTTCCTCTGCATCCATCAAATGTTTTATAATTACTTTTATGCTTATTGCAGAGGTGTCAATTTACAAACTACAAATACTTAGTTACCTTATTTAAGCAGAAATCTTGGCTATTTATACTTTACTGGAGTAATTTTATTGAGACAACTTTTTATTTCTACTCTTTACATATTTTTGCAATTATCTCTACTTTATACTCCTTATATTTTAAAAATAGACCAAATAGTTTTGTTTCATATAAGCTCATTTCTTTATGACCTGTTCGTATTTAAATAATTAAATAATTAGTTTCATTGAGACAATCATTTTCGCTGTGGTTGGACTCAGTGCTGCCCCCACTTGTTGTTCACCACATACCAAAATAAAGAGTTTTCCAAGATGATGCAAAGTTAAATGTGACACTGTTACAATTAGTTGGAAAACTAAGAAAATGAAGTATAATAAAATTATCATCCAGAATTGTAGAAAAATGTTCCTTTAATAGGGTGAAGCAGTAAAGCTTCTGCCCTTAACATTTTTTCCTGCATAACTTTTAATTTTATACTTAAAATTGTACTTTTATGCTTTTACTGGAGAGAAAAAAGCTTAAATTGATCCTCTGACTTCTACAAAAGTGTTTTTAAACAGTAGGATTTATATTTCTATTCGAGTAATAAGCATTAATACTTTTGACTCCATCTATAAATTAGTATAACTTATCACAACCATTTAACTTTGTATTATTTTTTTTTTGTAAATCAACAGGAATTAGTGTAGCACTCTACATTAGTTATAAAGAAGGCATCTGCAATTATAAAGGAGAATTAGTGTGTTTAATTCTAACTTTAAAAATATGCTTTAAAAGTGTCAAACTAAAATCAGATTTTTTTTTTATGTTGTTTATTTGGAATAATGGATTCTTCTTTGCAGCCTTTTGATTTTATGTTATGGTAAAGGACTTGTTTATCTGCTGATATTGATGATCTGTTACCTCCATCAGGCCATCTCCTCCATTTTGTTCCAGGGTTAACCTGTTTTTCTCTCCCAAAAATGCATTAAGCTCTGAGACAGTTGTCCAAAACATGACTATTGATAATGTTACACAAGGAAGGCATGACACAAAAGGCCATTGCTAAAGAGGCTGGCTGGTTGCAGAGCTCTGTGTCCAAGCACAGTAAAGAGGCAAAGGAAAAGAAAAAAATAGTGGAATTGCAAAAGCAATAAGGATAACCTCACCCTGGAGAGGACTGTAAAACAAGACCCATTTAAAAAAGTGGGGGAGATTCAGACAGAGTGGACTGTAGCTGGAGTCAGTTGAGTTTTCATTTGTTCCCAGTTATAATTATCTAAATTGAATCATTTATTCCTACAGAGGATAAAGAGAGCCCACCTGTCCCCACCCATCCTACTCACCTTCTACAGAAGCACCATAGAGAGCGTTCTGACCAGCTGTCTCACTGTGTGGTGTGGAGGCTGCAGCTCCTCAGACTGGAAGAAGGTGAGAAAAGCAGAGAGGATCATGGGGGCTCCTCTTCCCTCCATTAAAGACCTTTCATCCCATTGATGCATGTCTGGAGCCTGTAACATCATCAATGACCCCTCACCCCCCCACCATGGACTGTTCTCCCTGCTGCCCTCTGGGAAGAAGCTTCACAGCATTCAATGTAGATCCAGCAGGTTCTGCAACAGCTTCTTCCCCAACGCCATCAGACTGATGAATGTTTAAAAAAACTCTAAATCAAATCACAGACTCTGCATCACACTGATAACACCAAACCAAAGCTACAGCATATTTGCAACATATATATTAATGCTCTGAACTCCCATATCAATGTGTTTTTTAAGCCATTTTCCCACACAGTTTACATTTGATCACTGCTGCACTTTATGGAATAAGAAAGTTAATTTACTGTCTGGAAAGCTTTACTATACGAAATTCTGTTTTGAATACAATCCAACAATAAAAGTTGCTCAGGAACAAAAACACCATTCCTTAAACTGTAAAACACACCTCAACTGAAAAAAAAAAAATATATATGTGTATATATATATATATATATATATATATATATACACACTATGACATATATAGTCTCTGGGGTCAATATTTCAAGCTATACCAAATGAAAATATAGGCTCATGCAACAGCGTTATGTGTTTAATCTTTGGAATAAGTACGATTTTAAATGTATTTTAGTATATATTTAGGGTTAATAATAGTAACATTTATTTTACTTAAATTAGAACGTTGGGTGGTTATGTTAATTTCTGGGGTTTAAATAAAAAATATATGGAAACCCGAGATTAAGTGTGAGGGAGATTGAATCAGTTTTACTCATAGAACCCTGTGGAAGCCAGTGTGCTGGGGGCTGGGAAGCTTGTAGTTAGAGTGACTCCGGTTATCATGAGATATCTCTATAGCCATGCTACTTTAGGCTTAGCCTGCTGGAGGACATATGGACCACTTTTTTCTCACTCTGCTTCAATCTGTCTTCATTTTCCAATTCTGCAGCATTTCTTAGTGCAACCTCTAACTGTATTTGCTCTCTTTTATCCCTTTTGGTATGAAACTAAATCTGTTTCTTCCCTAGACAGAGCCCCCAATGGAACAGTTTACCATTGCCATTTCTAACATATAAAGTATTTATAGATCAGTGCTTCTATGTTCCATTTGTATGACTGCCTCTATCTCCTTGAACCCCAGTAAGCCTCAGCAGGTGGCCGCTCACACTGAGCCTGGTTCGGCTGGAGGTTTCATCATGCTCAAAGGGAGTTTTTCCTCTCCATTGTCGCTGCTTGCATGGTCAGTGAGGGACTCACCACATGCGCTCGCAGGAGTGAATCCGGCGAAGTCGGTGACAGAATGCAGTCAGCTGGGTTTCCTTAGATGGAAAACTTGAAACCATTCTGATTGGTTTATCTAATTTAACTGTCTCTATAAACAGCCTTGAGATGATATGTGTTGTGAATTGATGCTGCATTGATAAGCTGAACTGAAATGAACCACCCTAAATCGAAGATTTTTAGGGTAGAGGTGACCCCTTCTCTGCACAAATGTTTCCATATCTGCTTTGCAATGGATTCCCCAAGATCTTTCTCCAGGTTAATGCTCAAACTATCCATATCTGTTTATGTTAAAGTCAACATAAAGGCTGTTTACATGCTGAATATAGCTAGACAGAACAACACATAT